GCTAGCGCAAAATTAAACGAGTCCACGGATTGTATAGTTTTTTATATACATATATACATATGTATGAAATATAGCCAGTTATCATTTTACTACTTGACGCGTGTATTTTAAACGGGCGAATAATTTCGTATAAAGTTTGAGTGTAATTCCGGGGTAACCGACGCGCGCGCGATCCTGTTTTGCCCGCCGCGGAACCAGAGGAGACGCGCTCCAGTTATTCCCGTGGTCCTTCGCTCGGCGTTTCTCTCTGTGTAATCCACGCTTTTCAGCTTATTTTACTGTAATCCTTTTTAACGAATATTACACGCGCGTAACATAAACAGAGGATCCTAGAACTACATAATGCTCATACTAGTATTACAACGAATAGAGAGAATACCATCTCCGCGTATACGACCGTTCTATAATTTCGTCCTGTGTCGCGCGGCGGGGGTTGGCTCACGCTGGAAATCGTTGACGTTACTTTCTTTCCGCCGCGTCCTCTGTCGCGGTCGATTCCGTGCGCGAGATCCCAAGGGATGAAATCCCGAGAAGACGAGACCGTTCGAACAGACGCGAGGATCGAGAGAAACGAAAGCGCTCCAGTCGAGAATAATCGTTTTAACCACCTATTTTTCCACGATCGCCGCGTGGCCGGCGACAAACTTGTTTAGCCCGTTGCGTTCAACCCTTTGGCTCCGGCAGAACGTTACGTCGGCGTATCGCTGACAAAGTCTATTCCATTGAGACCATCGAACGAAAGCGATCTAAAATAATCGGATTTATACGATATACGAGCAACGCAGCCAAGGGGTTGACGGTAGCTCTCTCGATACCTGTACGATATCGTTCGAAGCGAACGCGTTCTCGCGCTCGTCTCGCCTGTACAGTTTTCAGTTGAACGTTCTCGGACCTCCGGTTCTGCTGTTTCCCTCGGAAAACGTTTGTACCGTTACTGCGAAACTATCACGACTACTAACGATTCTCGTTTCTGTACATAAACAAGCCTTTCCTGTATCTTCGGAAGAAAAAACAAAAACTCGACGCGCGAGAACCACGCGTAACGATGAACGCAGCCTGTAAATACCCTCTGTATCGCGTTCGCGACTCGTCGACGAATCGTCGACGAATCGTTGACAGGTGCGAGCTGTATACGCGTCGAGTTGTTCCTCGTTCTTCGACTGTATACGTGTGATCGCTAACGACGACGGAAATGGGCTCGGCGAATCGAGTAGACGACGTTGAATGCGCGCCACCGTTTGGCTCCCTTTTCCATCTCGACCTCTCAGGAAGCGCCTCTTCCTCCCCGGACAACCGTCGACGTTCGCGCGCCAACCGATAAATCGGTTACGAATCGCGCGATTTCGTTGCGTCGCTTTCTCGCCTATCATCATTGCTGTCACACGATTCTTATCATTACTTTGTACGACATCGATGTTCGTTACCGCCAATCAACTTATATTCATTGTTAATTTTAACGCTTCAGGTGATTGTACGAGCGTTCGATAAACGCGTCGCCGTTACACGATCGTTGATCTTCGATGCGCGGTCGTTTCCTACCCTCGGAGACGGCGATTTAACCGAATCAAAAGATTAGCGGGGGAAAAAAAAGAAATGGAAACCCTTAGAAGGGAGGAGCACTCGCGTTCGCGCGTGTTCCAAGAAAATACGGGCACGTTTTCATCGATAAACGAAAAATGGAGATATACAGAAATTATTGTTCATAGATTATTTTTTATCGTGTGAATACTGGTATATATATATATACACATATATATATGTCAGCAATAAAACAAAATTGTTATGAATATTACAGATCGGCTTGCGTATCTATGAACTAGTTCGGTACGCGGTCCATGCGTGCGGAATTATTCTCGTTTTCCTGCGGCGTGTACATGTTCACTCATTGTACATATTTATATGGCACTTGAAATAACAAATCCATACCATGTTGGTTTTTACATCGTCTTGTGTCTAGCGTCGTCCTCTGAAACATCATCCGCCCGATCGAACGTGTACTTTCGGATAATTATATAATGAGACGTCTGAAACTCGACGACCTCATTATATCGTTACTTCCGAGTATACAACGCTCTCTCCCGTTCCGTTTTCCAGCGCGAGAAACCCGAATATTCGTCCCTCGAAAGGTTACTCGCGAAAGTTACTCAACGCGCCGGAGTGTTTGAACATTTATTACTCGCAGGAGCATTCGTGTAACGAAAACGCGATTGGTACACAAAGAGAGACTGCAGCCTGACGAATCCGGTGTGGTCGTCGAAACGAAGCCTTCGTCGCGGTTGATTTCCTCGATCCGAATTCGGCCAAGATCGCTAGAGCTTCGACGAATTCAGCAACTTCCGTTTCTCGAGCGTGTGAAGGCGCACGACGTTCGACAAAGTGCGAGCCACGTGAGCCTTCGTGATTCGGCCACTTGGCCCATTCGAATTGAATTCGTCCAGCCAAAACGCTCGCGGTATGTTCGGTCGAACGTGAACCGGCGCCTCGTTGCAAGTCACTTGAAAATCTGCAACACGTCGGAACCTCTGGTTAAACCTCGCTCTTTGAAAGTCAAACTAACGAAAGGAAAGAAAAGAAACGAGCGGTCTCAACACCATTTATGCGCGATCGCTTTTCCCGTGTTCGTGATCGTAGCGTCATCCGCCGGTGCCCTACCCTGTGGAAACAAAGGAAAACATCGGATGTTTAGTTTCGGTCGGAGATAAGTCGCGAGGAATCGTACTGTCGGTGGAACGAACATAGCATCGATATCAGCAATCAGATCCGAACGTCTCGTAAACGAAGCGAGAACGCGTTAGCGAGTTAAGAATCGACGGTGAAACCGTAATCTTGCGATACTCGACGCTCAACGGACTATATTCGTTCCACGAGAGAATAATATCGAATCGACTTGCTTTCAAGGAATACTGCGCCGAGTAATCGGTCTCCATCGCGTTTTGCTGGTGGCGGTAAGATTTCTGTCTACAAAGAGCCGCGGCGTTGCTCCCGTTCTCCTTGTAGCCGAGTCTCCCGTACAGCCCGTACTTCTTCTCGTCGATGGGCCGCAGCGTGCCGTTCCTTTTCATCGCCATGTAGATTTGCTCGAGCATGCCGTAGCTCTTGATCAGGAAGTCGCGCTGAGCCAGCGCCGTGACGCGCTCCCGTTCCTCGGACTCGCAGATTATCTCCGGCTCGAACGAATACAAAGTGTTCGCCGGTTGTTTCTTCGTCTGAAATCGAACGACGGGGCTAGACGTCTCTGCGAGTGAACAAAGGAAAGCGCATTCCACCTAAGATATCAGCAAAACCGACTAACGTTCGAGGGCGCAGACCGTCTCTTCGCCGCAGCCGCCGATCTGCTCCCCTCCCGATTGCCGGAGGGCGCCGAGGACGTCGACACCGACTTATGACCGTACGCCACGTTCGGACTCTCCGGATGTAACTTGGAGTCGCTCGATTTCCCGGCCATCTTCTTGCTCTCTTGTTCCTTGAGCTTCGCCTGGACGTCGAACGAGCCCCGAACCGTTATTTTTCTGGCGCGCGCGTCGCCGAGGAGTGGACGAACCTCACTCTCCTCCTTCTGGATCCTCGAGGCTTCCTCTCTGGCGCGCGACGCCACCGTGTCTTGGAAGACGGAGATGCTGTTCTGCTTGAAGAACGAGTCGTACTTCTCCAGGCCCGCGCACGGATAGATCCGACGGAAATTGCCCATGTGCTCGTCCTCCCATTGAAACTGCCGCTCCAGAAAATCTTCTTCCGGTTTCTCGAGCCTCGCCGCGATCGCCGTCGCGTCGTTCGTGCTTGGTCAACGGGCGAACAGTCTCGAGATTAGTCTCTTATCCGAGAACGGAAATGGCCTCGGAGCAACGATCGAACGAACGGACTTCCGACGATTTACCTGGCTTCCTTGCAGCTTATTCCCTGCAGCAATCGGTCCCTGACCCGTTTCCTGTCCTCCTCGATGATCTTCTTCTTGTCGCACTGCTGCAGGTTCAGCATCGCGAACGTGTCCATCAGCAAACCCTCCTTTATGTCCTTGTCGATTTGCGCGTCCGTGTGGAAACTCGGCGAGTGGTTCACCTATCGAACGTCTCCGTGAAGGATTCGTCTCGCGTGTTTACATACATAGGTGTACGGAATCATCGACGGGCGTCGAGTATCGTTACCTCCAAAAGATACGGTTTCAGCTTCCAGTCGATCAGCACGTCGAAGCCCAGCAGCTCGAAACACGCGTACGTTTTGTCGTGCGTAGGGAAACACGTGTGGTAGCTGTGCTTCAGGATCGGGTACGCGGCCGAAATCGTTTTTATTATAATCTCGTCGATCCTCTGGCACAGTTCATTCACGTCGACGTCCTTCGTTCTCAGCCACTTGTTCAAGGTGGAGATCTTCCTGCGCAAAGAAACCTCCTCGCATCGTCGCGTTCGCGCGTCTGACCGTAGAAATACCGATTCTTTAGAAATGCCGGCGTACAAGAGACGCGAACGGTGTTACTATTGACGGCTCGGGGCACCTTCCCCTCGGTCTTTCTACGGTGACGCCGAACGAGCGTAAACAAATGAATTACCCACCGACCTTTTACTGCCAACCTCCTCGTCGATAACGTACATTCGGCTGTGCTTGTTAACGGCGTAATTGGTCAGGTGCATGAACACGTTCGACGTGTTGTGTCCGTTCGGTTCCTTGTACCTGCTCGTCGCGAATCTGAAGAGGAATCGAAAGGCTAGCAGCGCAAGGAGGAATGAGTAACAACGAGAAACGGCGCGTTAGGAGGGAAAACCTCGTTAGACCGGACTGCCGAGGAGGTAACGGAAGCGACGTCTTTACCTGGCTAGGCCGTCGTTGTACACGTACACTCTCAGGGGATCGCAGGAGGTGATCAGAGCGTAGATGCGGAGGTCGAACTTGTAACCGTCGACCAGGAAAGGCTACGAATGCGAACTATCTTAGGCGAACGGCGAAACCGTACGAACATGATTGGAACGCGAGAAACGGTTGCCTACCCTGGCCACGTACACTTGGCATATCATACGTTCGGTGGGCTTGACGTCCTTCAAGTTCTTGGTCAAGTAGATTCCGCGGCCCTGGCAGCCGGTGTCGGGCTTGACGATGAAGGTCTTCGAGCGTCTCAGCTTCGCGTAGGCCACCGCGTCGCCGTAGCTGAAAGTTTCGATCGCAAAACTTCTGTTTGGTTCTTTCAAAGAGATTTCGATTCGATCAAAGTCTAAACAGGATAGACCCTGTTACAGCCGGAAAAAGTTGGAAAGTTGGAAAGTTGGAAGGTCGCGCTTCGCTTACTCCGCTGGGAAACACCAGGTCTTCGGGAAGAAATTGTAATCCTTTGGGAAGAGCTTCAGCATACGGTTCAGGTTCCGCGCGAGCAAATCCTTCCTGCAGATCTCCGTCATTCCGGGGAAGTGGTTGACTTTCTGGTACCTCTTCATGTCCTTGGCCCGTTCCACGCTGACGCTCAAGTCCGTCCAATAGAGGTTCCAGCTGCTGTCCTCGGTGACCTCCTTCATCCCGAAACGCGCCGCTACCCGCCTCACCGCTTCGTATTTGCAGTTGCTGGTGCATATCGTCAGATACCTGAAATCAGAGACGGTCGACGGATTGAAACAGTGAATCCCGTTTAGCTCGTCCGAGTCCTCCCCACCTCCGTCTCTTCTTCTTCTTCTTCTTCGATTTCGTCGAAGAGCCGTCCGCGTTGTCCTTGCGAGATTCCGTGTCGGTGTCCGCGAACGAAAGATCGGCTGGCAAATCGGTCCGTCCCGAGATCATGATACATGTCGGAAGAAAAACATTACACGCTAGGTTCCCGATCGTCCGAGGAAGAAGCCGACTCGGTTTAGGTTAGAAGCGGTACCTTTCTCGTCTTTTCTCTCGGCCGGAGTTTCGCGAGCGGTCGTTTCTCGATCGCGTTCAGCCGAATCGTCGGACACCGCGAGTTTCTTGCACCGATCTCGGTGAACGTCGCACGATCGCGCCTCGCCGCTGACATCGGAGTCGCCGATGATCGTCTCGTTCGCGATATCTCTTTTCTCGGCGACTTCCCGTTCCCGATTCGACGTCGAGGGACGTTTGTGGTTGTGCCCAGCGACGCTCATGACCGGCCTATCTCATTATTTTCAGCGATCGTTCGCCGCGCGGCATCAATTTCTCTAATCCGATCAAGCCGGACGCATCCTGTCGCGCGAAACATCGATATTCCCTTGGAGCGCGAACCGGCCGAATTTCTCGGCGAATTTCTCGGCGAATTTCTCGGGCCGATGGACCGTTGTTTTTCCGATCGGAGCAGCGACTCGCCCGGGGTCAATTTATCGCGCGACGCGATATCCGACAGCCAGTCGCCGCCTCTCACGAAATAGTTGGTCGCCGCTCCCATCAATTGTTTTCCCATTTCACGGCCAAAGGAGGAACCGAACTACGGGAATCGGAATCGAAGGGACGCGGGAGCTCCGCGAACGCTCGACTTTTCCGTCATCTCCGTCCGAAACGAAAACGTTTCGCGCCTCATTTCCGTTGAGAAGCTCTCGCGACGCGGCGTCCTCGATACCACTGCGGCACCAGCCACGCAAAACGCAGTTCGAGACTCGCTCCGTTTCTTTAATTACAGCCTTCCTTACAGCGACGACGACGCACGAAGCTGCTATCACGAAACCTTCTTAACGACGAACGCTTCGATCGCGCGACCACGGGGCGAACGCAATCGTGAAATTATCCAGAAAAGCCGAAACGTTTGCGAACACCTCCAACTACTTTATTACTTCTCCCTCGAGCAAATTCGATTACACGTTCGATTACAAATGCGACGACAAAGGCAATTCCAATCCCAGAATATTCCGAACGATCGCGACGACGTCCATAGCGCAGCCCCAACTGAGCGTTACACCGCTTCCGCCGTGCCCGTAGTTGTGTATCACCTGGGAAAAGGTTACGAATTAACCGGCTGCCAAAACTGTTCCCACTTGTTTCTTTACCGTGAATTTCCCTCCTCGAGGAGACTCGACGACCTCGGGTTCGAGGCGGACGCTGAGTCTTCCGGGTCGGAGGCCGACCCACTCCGTCCCTGGTTCGATGCCCTTTTAACCGAAAGATTACCATCAAAGATCGACGATCGATTCCGTATAACTATCCGAACGAGCCCGTCGATCGTACCTTCAGTGCGGGCAACATTCGACTGCAACCGTCGTAAATGAACTTTGAGTCCTCGGCGCGTGGCGTGCAATCGTAATCGTTCTCCTGGTGCGTCCCGCCCAAAATCGTCTTTTCGAAGCTTGAACAACAAAAGTGGGGGATCAACTGTAACATCGTATGCCACGATCGAGACTCGTTAACGTCACGTCGTTAATTACTTCGGTATTACGCAGTACATGTCTTCGTCCTCCACGATGTAAGCGTGCATCATCCCGGACGCTGTCACCTTGAACGAAAGAAACGGTGAGACGCGAAAAACCTCGGACCTATTCGCGCAGATAGGTTCATCGGCGGTTACGAACTCTAGCCACTTGACCCCTGATGGGCTGAACCGTGCTATCAGCGGCGAGGAGGCGTGCTCCGAGACCGCTGCAGTTGACGATCAAATCGTATCCGTCGGCGACGAGCTCGTGAAACGCGTGGACCTCCCTTTTCCGAAGTTCCCCGCCGGCCGCGACGAACTTCTCGGTGAGCCAGGGCAACAGGAGAATCGGTTCGGCGGTGTACGTCATGAACATCCATCCTTCCCTGGAATCGACCTTATCTGCTACTCGAACGTTCCTCGGCGAACCGTTAACGATCGACCGTTAACGGACGAAACTTTGGCGAATTCTTTATCTCGCGATACCGTACCTGTAACTCGACCCGTGCTCGTCGTTCAGTCTCCTCAATTGTTCGGGCGTCAGCTTCCGCGCGCCGTGCACCAGCTTGGTCCAGGTGGAATCCGAGTATCCGCGAGGATCGCTGGTCAACCGATAAATCGGCAGCAACGCGATTCCCATCTCCGAGGCCAGGCCCGCTCTCCAACACTCGTCCATCCATCGGTACGCGGCCCCAGCCCATTTTCTGTCGACACCACCGCGATTCGAACGCATCGAACGATACGAAAACGAGCCATTACACCTTCCAATCGGACGATTTTAAGCGTTTCGATCGCTTTCATCTGAAAGATACTCACAGTACTTTGTCGAGAGGCGTTTCGCCGAAGAGGTAAGGGCACCAGAGCCCGGCGCTTCCGTCGCCAGTGGTATCCGGGGAAAATTCCGCCGCGAATACGTGCACGTCGAGTCGCGGGAAAGCGGTTTTCACCGCGAGCGCGCTCGTCATACCGATTATCCCGGCGCCCACCACCGCTACTCTCATCTCGGAGGGAAAATTCGGACGAACTTGCCGGATCCGAACGCGAACGCGAGTACGCGACAAATAACGAGACGCATCGCCGAATTAATTTCTCTTGCATGCAGATAACGGAGATACGAGACGAGAAAAATGACGTTCTCGGAGCGATAACCTTCTCGCGGGGTCTCGCGAAAGATCGACGCGCGCGTTCCGCTCTGCGAGACGATTTCCGCGTGTAACGAGCGCATTCGCGAGCCGCGATAATCGAGGGAGAGTGCCGCGTCGAAACAGCTGTTGAACTTAACTATTAATCATCCCTTAAACCTTACCGGAGCTCCTCTTCCTTCCCTGCTTTCCCAAATTGTTTTCATAGATCGAACTTCCACGAGTTCCAGATGCATCGCGACTTCACCAAAGTTCCCTTCAGTCTCGCGATACAGCCGTGAATTATTTAACCCTTCGAGCGCCGAACAAGGTCATTCGAAGGTCGTCGGACTCTGCTCGTTCAAGGTGTAATTCTATTGTAATTGTAATTCCCCCTTCTCGTAAAACCGAACAGTGCTAATGAACGCGTAAGTATTCCTCCCGTGCACTCACAACTATCACCGCGCACGTGTGAGATTAACAAGCTGGAAGACACGCGTACGTGTACGCGTCCATAGTCCGGACCGATAGCTTCCGCCGGACGCATCCGTACATCTACAGAGCTGAAAGGGTAATTGTATTACGATAAAGACGATAGGAAAACTGGACTCGTTCCCAAAGGTATTCGGTGGCCGCGGTGCTCGGAGTAGACTCGCGATTTCACATATTCTTAGCATAATGCCCTCGTTTCGGCCGGCAATGTTATGCTAGAATATGGGGATCGCGGAGCGAAAATCCGGCTACATTAAAAATGTCCAAGCACCCAATTCAGCACCAGTGGCGCCCAGCCTGTCCATCGATGCTCGTCCCACACCGCACTTACAGTAAACGGAGCATAATACTTTAAGTGTTGCGTGTCAAAGGTCTTATACTCTGCTTACCGAAGGCGCGACGCGCGGTTCCGATTGATTGATCGGCGCACCGGTCCCGGAGTTCCTCCTCGGAGAAGAGACACGAACGCGTCCCGCGAGATCGTCGGATCCACTGTCTGCGAATCGAACGAGCGTCGCGATGCGCCGATCGCGTTCGAAACGGGGAGCAGCCTCGGTGCGAACCGCGTGCACGCGAAGGGATGTTTTCGACGCGGCCGTTTCAGCGGACTGAGCCCTGCACGTTCGTATGCGTATATGTATATCTGGCTCCCAGAAGGCGACTCACCGAAATGGCTGATGACAGTTCACGATACGGAGTATTTGTTTACAACGCACACGACCGCCCTAGACATAATACAGTCCGGAAATGATGCGATAAAGGGTCTAAGTGACAGGATAACGCCGCGGAGCCCGCTCGCCGTTCCTCGCTACTCGTTTCAGCCGCGGCGCAACGCGCGCCGGTTAATCCTTCCCGGACGAAGCGTACGAATATTTTTTCAACATTCCTAGGACAACGGGAGATGTTCGCTCGCGACGGTCAGACTTTCAGAGCAGATTCAGCGGAAAGAGGAATGGCGTTTCAAGGTGAAAATTCTACCAACGGGGGATGTAATGTCTTCGACTCGGCGATACCGTTGCTGGACGGTTTCGCCAATTCGGTGGTCAATCGATTCGATCGATAAACGATCCATGAACCTGTTTAAATACGGTTTCAGCTAAAAATCTCGAGGCTGCCAGTTTTCTTATTATTTCCTTGGTTGTAGTCTTTCGTTGCTTTCGCAGCGTTCCATCGCGAATATTTCTCGGATGCGAACGAATCTTATTCCTGAATAATAATGATAATGATAGTAACAATGGGAATAATAATAAGCGATGAAACGGTAATGAAAAGTAGTTACCGGATCGTCTATTAGGATCACCGTCAGGGTGGCCTAAGATTATTTTAGAGCGTGGTCGGGTTCTGCAGGCTTGGATAGCTGACACCAAAGATACCTCGGTATCTGCTATCCGAGAACATTATCGGGCATTCTATCATACTTCGCGTGGCGATGTTAGTTTCAGATTTTATAATTAATTAACCGATCGATCGCTGTCCGGCGACAGTGAGACTCGCGAGAATTTTCTTCGTTGACGTTGTCGATGCGCGCGGTATAGATAACCGAAGAATTATCGAGACACGTTTCAAGTATAAATATTACGCGTGAAAGAAATGCGACGATATTCGATTGAACGAAAAAACATTTCAGAAATTTTCCTTTGTAACAACTGAAATTTCGATCAAAGAAATAGCAACGAAAAGAAATATATGAGACGCGAGATTGGTACAGGAAAGAGGGCAACAGCTGTACGCAATGTAATTGAATTTACGTATCATTCCAATTATAAATTAAGATCGATTTGAGATAGCATTGAACAGATGGTCGGAGCACTTATCAAATATAAAAACTTATCTAATTATATGAATATCGGCAAGTTCTTCCATAAACTCCCAGAGATTCGATTAATGTGTTTTTATTTCATTGAGAATACGCATTTACCATCCATTTACACTTTTCATTGGAAAATTGAAATAAACATAAATACTTTATAATCTTTAAGTAGTACAATTTGATCATCCGGCTAACTACCACTCATAACATTTCAAACGCTTATCTTGGTAAACGTAAGATACAGATAAATTTGTCATGAATATGTCATGTAAAATATCAAAGGGAACATTGTATTAATACGCTGGAAATATTTATCACATTTTCTTGTTGTTCATGGGTGAGATAAAAAATATGATATAATAATACAAAATATTGCGTTTACGTATTCTAATCGACCAAGTGTTTAATGTAACTTATGAGTGGTAGTATATACACAAATATACAATATACAATAGTATGAAAGATTTTGTAATTTATAAAATATAGAAATATTGAGCATTTTCAGCTGTTAAACATGGAACATGACAAAATCTATTACGATCGATTTTATTGTACAAATTTAAGAAAGGTGCAAATGCAACTACTTGTGCAGAATTGTCATTTTTCATATTCCCCGTTCCTAAAGTTATCAAGTTACCACTTTCTTTTTGAAAATCACACAATTACTTCAATGAGAAATGAACAGAATTCTTTCCAATAATAACTTTAAAAAATCACCGTTGTAAATTAACTTTCAAAGTTACAAGGGTGAAGTTACATTATTTTCTCACTGACCCAATATGTTATATATATATATATATTATATAATACTTGTATATACTCAATATATATCATAATACCCAATATATAATATTTTATGTAACTGTTCCTTATAGCAAGAATATAAAAACATGGAATATAAGATTTTGCAGAAAAATGTACGCCCATATCCATTATTGTTAAAATTAATGGTGTATAAAATTGAAACGCATCGCGGTATAAATTCGTTCCATATTTCCAATTAACACTGCATCGGACTGTACAAGAAATATCAAAGATTTCATTTACAGTACATTCTGACTGAAATGAATACTGTTTCAAAATTACAAGAATCACCCAAACATGATATATTTTCGTAAGTAGCGTTGATAAATAAACTTTCTTCTGAATTAAAATTGCACACGTGCTACTGCCAAAACTGTTATGAGAACTTTTTTTCTCACAGATAAACTGTTTATCACAGATGGAGTCAAAATTATCATTAAAATCGCAATAAAATTTTAACAGAAAAAATGAACATTCCTCAAGATCTTAAATTCATGAAAGTTTTAATGCAACGGTAATTTCATTATTTTAATAACACTAT